AACACGCCAGGGACCCCAGAGAAGGGCTGAGCTCCCACCACAGGGCCTGGGCCTGCAGGGTTGCCGAGCGGGGCCTCAGGGAGACAGAGGGGGTCTCCCCACCCGGGGTTTCCCGAGTCTGTTCTCCCAACTCTGCTGGAGGCCAGGAGGCTGCAGGGTGAGGAAAGGCTGGGGGCACAGTGGGGGCCCCGTGCGATGTTTCCGTTGCCCCTATTTGATGCCATGTTCCAGCAGGCGGCTGCACTGCTGCGTGGGTCAGTGGGCCCAGAGAGGCAGGTGGGACCCAGGGAACGTAGACCCCCCCCCATAGACGTGGGCTGCTGGAGAAGCAGCCACAGCTTGGGGTGGGCAGGGGGCACCCCACCCGCCAGGGCTGACCTTGGCCTGTCTGATTGGGGCTAATTAAGCAAAACCATGATAAGGAGTATTTCTGTGGAAAGATCAGACCCACAGGCGCCCAGGGGAGACCCCTGCCCTACCCGTATCCAGCTCTCCCTCCCCACCTGCCCCAGTTCTAGGAGCCAGCCCCCTCCCCACCAGCCCATGTGTCTGCCAACATGTTGGGAATCACACCAGGGCCCCATCAGGCCCTCATTCTTTCCATTTTGCAGATGAGGAAACTGAGGCCTAAGGGGACCAAATCTCTCGCGCAGAGCTGGTGCAGTTGAACAGGGGCTAAGGTACTGGCTCCACAGGTGGCCGTGCCCGGTTCAATCCCGGCATCACACCTGCTCCCCTGAGCCCACCAGGAGCGCTCCTGAGCACAGAGCCAGGAGTCAGCCCTGAGCACTGCCAGGCATGCCTCAAAAACAAACCAAAAAGTCATCAGTGCAAAATCCCACTGTTGCAAAGGGCAGGTGTGACTGAAATGGGGTGTGACCCCTGACTCTGCTATTAGACGCCCCTGGGACCACCCCCCACCCCCCCATCCTCAGGATGAGGCTCCTTCCTGACTGGCTAAAGTCCCGGGCATGGCGTCTGCAAGTGGCCCCCGGAGCTTCATGAGTCCCCAGCTGGCAGCCCCCCGGCCTAGCAGAGACCACTTGTCCCAGCCCACCCTGCACTGGGCGAGCCTGATCCTCCCTCTGAGGAAGAACTGAGGTGCCCTCTTGGACACACTGCAGCCCAAAGGGTCGGGGTGGGGGTCCCCAGGGATCCCCTAGCATCGGGAGCAGCAAGACAAACCCCTACAGGGCCCCTGGCCTTGGGGAGTCTCACCCACAGCTTCTTAGCCCAGAGGTCAGCTGCGCAGATGGAGAAACTGAGGCTTCTGGGTGTCGCCCATGGTGATGGATAGCGAAGCCTACCCACTGCCGCCGCCCCCCTCCCTGCCCAGCTCCTAGGGGTGCCACCATCTGCAGGGGGTGCTAAGGTTGGGGAGAGCGGCTTCTACAGGCCTGGCTCCAGAGAAGGGGTGCGGGTGGCCAGGCGGAGGGTCAGCACTGCCTGCACACCCATGCGACTGTGAGCACCACAGGCCGCCTCGACTCCCGGCCCGGTGGCCGCTGGCCTCCCCAGGCTGCCCTCGGTGGTGGAGTCTGGGGGAGCGGGGGGGGGGGGGGCAGCCCCTTCTGGAAGCCGCTGATAAGGGGCTGGCGGGCTGCGTCTCGGGGGGCAGCTTCATTCTCGGCAGAGCCCCGGTGGGACCCGCGGGGGGCGCGCCGTGGCTACCCCTCCCGTGAATACATCAAGCCTGAGCTTCCCGCCGCTCCCAGCCGGTTCGCTCAGCTCGGGATGGGCCGAGGCTGGCGGCTATCAGCCTTCTCATCGCCTCGCCCAGCTGGAGGAGAGTCTAATCCACCCGCTCCTCTCCGCGCGCCAGGGATCCCTTTGATGTTCCCTTTATCTCCCTTCCCAACTGAATTGCCCCTCGACCGGCCGCTCCAAAGGGCCTCCTGCCTCTCCCGGGCCCCTCCGTCTCGCCCCACGCCCACCGCGGGCCGGGCCTGCCCGTGGACAGGGCTGGTCTGGGGCTGCCCTCGGCCCCCTCTGCTGCCTGGCCTCGTCCTGTCTGCTTTGCTGGGGCCGCCCTGCACCCTGCCTGGCCCCTCCCCCTCTCGCCCTCCCTCGCTTGCCCGGTCAGGCCTTGGGCTGGGTCCCCAGAGGCCTCGCTGTCCTGCCCTCTGCTGGTCTGTGTGCCGGGGCACAGGCGAGGCTGGGTGGGCATCAGGGCAGACAGGCAGGAACTGGCATCCTGGCCCAGCACCCTCGCGGGCCTCAGTTTCCCTCTTCCCAAGGGGTGAACTGACACTGGCTTCACCCTCCAGCGCTGGTCAGTGGGAGCTGCTGTTGGGGGTCGACCCAGGGCTGCCTCCAGGGGGCGCTTTGCACCAATTTGGCCAGCCGCATCTCTCTCTCTTTCTCTCTCTCTCTTTCTGTCACACACACACACACACACACACACACACACACACACACACACACACAGCACAAATCCAACTGGAATTCTGGGAAGTTCCGAAGGGGCAGGCTGAGCCTTTGAGGGGCCTCGGTAGGAGACACTAGGGTCCAGGACAGCCGGATGCCGAGAGGGACCAAGGAGAAGGGATCCCTCTTATTCCCAGGGCCCCAGGGCTGCCGCAGGTCCTGGAAGGCGTGATGTGAGCAGGCACAGGTCCCAGTCTCCAGCACCGTCCTTCCCTCCTGCTGTGGGGGCCCCAGCACAGCCTGGAGGTCGGGGGTGAGGGGTGAGCATCGAGGCCAGGCCCGGAGCCTCCTCCGGGCTCAGAGTCACGCCTGCCTGTGCAGGGGGCACAGATGGCACCGGGGGTGCCTGGGCTGCCCCCGTGCGAGGTGAGCGTGTGACCTGGGGTCCCTTTGCTCCCGCCGTGGGCTTGCTCCCTTCTGCCGGGATTCCCCGCACAGGGTCCCCCACGTCGGTTCTCTTCGCTGCCCCAGGCCTGCTGCCCAGTGCTCCGCCCTGTCTGTGGCTCTCCACCGAGTGTCACTGGGTCTGGGGGCTCAGGGGTCGCGCTGCCGCGAGTCACACCCCCGCCGCACTCAGTGACAACGCTGCAGCCAGCCTGTGCGGGCCTGACGGTGGCGGGAGGCGGCAGAAAGAGGGACAGGGTCCCAGCAGACGCGAACTGAGTGTCGGACCCCACCCACGAGCTCCGATTCGCCAGATCTGGCCTTGGGGATGTGTAAGTGAGAGAGTGTGTGTGAGTGTGTGTGAGCATGGGATGTGGAAGTGGTGTGTGTGTATGTATGAATGTGTGTATATGTGTGAATGTGTGTGTGTGAATGTGTGTGTGACTGTGTATGTGAGTGTGCATGTGACTCTGTGTGTGGTTGTGTGTGACTGTGACTGTGTGTGAGTGTGTGGGAGCCTGTGTGTAAGCGTGTGTGTGACGACCGTGCGTGCATGTGTGTTCGTGTGAGTGTGTGTGGCTGTGAGTATGTATGAGACTACGTGTGTGTGCGTGTGTGTGAGCCTCTTTGTAAGGGTGCGTGTGTGTGAGTGTGTGCTTGTGTGAGACTGTGAGTGTGAGTGTGCACACGCGTGTAATTAATGTGTGGTGCCAGGGAGGGAGCCCAGGGCCTGTGCATGCCAGGAGCTCTGTGTCCAGTGCTCCTGCAGCTGTGGTTGTGCCGCCTCTGCCAGGCTGCCCTCCTGGCTGGACACCGTGGTTCCCCACGCCACTGCCAGGCCCCTCCCCAGGCCCAACCCACGCTCAGGCTGCTGTGCCTCTCATACAGCTCCATGGGCAGTTCTGATCTGTGGCTGCCGGGTAACGGTGGCTCACGGGCCACCTGGCTGGCCCCGGGCTCCTCTGCCCAGCGCTGAAGGGACCCTCCCTGCCCAGGTCCCCAGTCTGGCTTCCTCTTCCTCCTTCCGTCTGGGGGCCTGTCTCTGAGCTCCTTGTTAGGGAGGGGACAGGACGCCTCTGCCCTGGGCCCTCCCTGCAGACAGGAGAGGGAGGACACGTGCCCCTCCCCCCCCGTGCCCCTCCTCGGTGCTCCCTCCTCGGTGCTCCCCCTGTCTCCCTTCTCACGCTTCTCTGCTTCCTTCCCCTCACCTGGCTCCCTTCTCTCCTGCTGCCGTGTCTGATGCTCCCACGGGTAGAACCTGGTAAGTGGGCCTGGGGCTGGGGAGGCTCGGGGGGGCCATGACAGGGGCATCACGCCACCAGCATCACAGCCCAGGCCTGCAGGGCGGAGGGAGAGGCGTTGGCGTCCCTGGCGACTGCAAAACGCCACACACACTGGGGCCTCCGAGAGACTCCTGGCAGGAGAAGTGGGTGTCGGCAGGAAGCTCTCCAGGCTTGGGGCTCGAGACCCCGGCCACTGTCACACCCCAGGTCGGCAGGACACGGCTACAGAGCCTGGCGCCCCCTCTCCTTCAGACCCCGTGTGGGGGAAGCTGCCTCTGGGGTCCAGGGCAGACAGACTCCATCCGGGACACGCCTGGGTTGGGCTGGACTTTAGGGGTCCTGGAAGCACTTGCAGAGTAGAGGGCACTGTGACGGGGAGTCACACACCTTTATCTCACCTGGGCACAGCTGCAGGGGCGTCGCCTACCTCTACCCCAGCCTGGGACAGCCCCACCTGTGACTCCCCCGTCCCCGCCTATGACTCCCCCGTCCCCGCCTGTGACTCTCCCCGGCCCTGCCGATGTCCCCACTTCAGGCTGCCTCCTGACCCAAGACAGGTGACAGACAGGCTCTCTGGGGACAAGTGGGGCTCTGAGGCGAGGACAGGACCCTGTGGGCATGGCAGGAAGCCTGTGACCTGGCCGCCTGCCCACAGCGCTGAGAGGGCGGGGGCTGGGGTCACACTGCTCTCGGGGTGCCGCGGTCCTGAGGACGTGTGCTGGCACGTGGTTGATTGGTGCCTCGGCAGTGGGACCCTCCGCCCCATCCAGGCCTGCAGCCTGCTCGCTCCCTCCTCCTGCCCCCCCTTCCTGGGGCATGCACAGGGCATGACGTGGGCGTGGGGGCGGCAGGGCATGAGGGGTGTGCTTTTGCAGGCCCCCTGACCGGTCTCTCCACCCACCCAAGGGTCTGAACAGCATGTTCGAGGTGTACCTCGTGGGGAACAACTCCCATCACTTCATCATCTCCCCCACCTCCGTGCAAGGCAAGGCGGACATCCGCATCCGGGTGGCCATCCCCCTGGACTACGAGACCGTGGACCGCTACGACTTCGACGTGAGGACCCTTCGTGCCCCCGCGGGGAGGGAGGGATTCTGGGCTGAGGCGGGGTGTGGGGGAGGGAGCAGCAAATACCAGCCGCCATGAGCCAGCCCAGCCAGACCCCTGCTGTCCCCCATGGACGGGGCCCACCAGCCCTGTGCGGTCTCAGGAGGCCTCCGGGAACGAGGGCCGAGCGCCAGCCCGCCCTCACTGCCCACACAGCTCTTTGCCAACGAGAGCGTGCCAGAGCACGTGGGCTACGCCAAGGTGAAGATCGCCCTCATCAATGAGAATGACAACCGGCCCGTCTTCAGCCAGCCGCTGTACAACGTCAGCCTGTACGAGAACGTCACCGTGGGCACCTCGGTGCTGACCGTGCTGGTGAGTCCCCCACTCCCGCCAGGCTCGAGCTCTGTGGAGCTGCCCACACACCCCCCGCCGGAGTCCTACAAGAGGGGTCTGCAGCCCCCCAGATGCTGATCCACGTCCTGATGGAGCCCGCCAGCCTGGCGCCCACGTGGCAAGGGCCAGAGAGAGAGGGGTGGGCGGCAGAGGGCACCTCCTGACAGGTGCTGAGCCAAAGCACAGGAGGGTTCAGGCACGGCTGTCTCAGAGCGCACATCTGGGCAGGAATCTGACCCTGATTTGGGCCTAAGGGGGCCCCAGGCTTCCCGCTGACCCCACATCGGTCCCAGCGGGGGACAAGCACTCAGCCCTGATTCTCCTTGGCCAGGCTGGTGCATGGTGCTTGCCTTCCCCACCCAGACGCCCCCTAGTGGAGCGGGGAGTAGGGCAGGGCAGTTCCCCAGGGACCTGGGGGAAAGCCAGAGCAAGCCAGGACAGCTGTGGCTGCCCCAGCCCGGGTGATGCCCTCAGCAGGGGCGCAAGGAGAGACCTGCCCTTTGCCAGAGCCCGTCCCAGAGGCCCCCTGGGGAGAGGGTCTGCTCTGCAGAGGTTGGTGGGGACCGCCCTGAGCCGGCCCTTCCCCTGCGACACTTCCCAGTCTCTCAGCCTCTCGCCCGGCTGGGCTGGCCTGGGACAGAGGCACTGAGATGCTCCCTGCTCGCTGCCCCAAACAGCCTCCACCAAGTGCCGCTGAGGCCTCCGGACCCCTGGGGGTGCCCACGCAGGAAGTGCCCCCAATTGCACCCGAGGCCACTGCAGCCCTATGGATGGTTCTGGCACCCCCGGGGTGACAGTGTCACCCACTTTGAGAAACACTGGCCTAAAGGCTTAGTGAAGGGGCTGGAGCGATGGCACAGCGGGTAGGGCATTTGCCTTGCACGTGGCTGACCCGGGTTCGATCCCCAGCATCCCATATGGCCCCCTGAGCACCGCCAACAGTGATTCCTGAATGCACGAGCCGGGGCCTCCCGAGGGCCTAAGATAAGATTCCGTGTCAGGTCTGGGCTTAGTGGCTGTTCAGGCTCTCCCACTGCAGGCCTCGATTCTCGTGGGGGAAAATGGGTACAGGACGGACTTCCGCCTGGCTGCTGGTGTCAAGGGTGGTGGTCCCAAGCCAGGATGGGGTGGCCCCAGGGTCAGTGCGCTCAGACGGGCTTCCCAGGGCGAGGGCATCGGGCAGGTCTGTGGCTCAGAAGAGGGGGTCTCCTGCTGGGCGGGCTCAGCCAGCCACCCCACCCCACCCCAGTCCCAGTGCGGCATTCCCGGCCTTCTTTCCCAGCCCCCTGTGGAGTTGTGCGGATCGAGGATGGCTGCTGGCGCATGTGTCTTTGGGGACATTTCACATACGGCGGAGCCACAACCCCCGAGCAGGGCTGGGGACATCAGGCGGCAGGGCCTGGGGGCGGGCGGCCCGACCTCCCTCCTTTGCTGGGTGCTGGTGTGTCCACGCCCCACGCAGACTCATCTGTTAAGGGGGCTGGAGACTGCCAAGGGGGTCCGAGCTGCCCACGATGGTCCCTGCCGCCATCCACTCCCCGTCCCCACCACGCAGGGGCGAGCTTTGCGGCCACCGACGGGCACAGCCGCCCCCTCGCCCTCTGTCCAGTCCTCAGCCTGCTCAGAGACCGAGAAGTCCCTCCTCCCCAACCTTTCCTGCCATGTTATTAAAATGTTTTGTGGGCAGTTGTGTCCGGGGGAAACAATGAAGGAACGAGAACTGTTTAAATTGGCACCTGACGCCCAGCCGGGCCTGCCGCTTCTGGGGCTCGCCCCCGGGTGCTCCCCTGCTGTGGGTCCCTGCACATCCCTCACCTGGGGTTGAGGACCTCCTCGTCCCGCGTCTCTGCTGTCGGAGGGGAGTGTTGGGGACCTCAACTCAAAGGCTCTGCTGAGCCCTGAAGCCTGGTTCCCCCCCCCCCACTTCCCTGCTCATCGGCCCATTTGAAAGCCCATCGGGGGATGGGGGGTGCAGATGCTTCCCTGAGCCTTTCCCGTCCTGCCCAGAGCGGGGGGAAGTGGGGGGCTCGGCTGCTGGGACCCCGTAGCCATCCCAGTGCTGCAGGGCCAGGCACTCACTCCGCCGCCTAAGTGTCCAACCCACGTTCATGCTGGTTCTTTCCTGGCCAGCAGCTGAGTTTGGAGGAGGTGAAGCAACTTGCTTGCATCCCAGGGAGAGTGCGGTGGTGCCGGGATTCTTTCCACATCGGCAGAGGGGCCCGAGGTGGGGAAGAGCATCTAGGGCCTAGCCCCAGCAGCCCGCGGCTGACCCCGTGTGTCCCAGCACGGCGTGAGGTCTTTGGGGTCCCCTCCCCTCAGCCTCCAGAGCCTCCTCCAGGCAGGTCCTGCCCCTGCTCTCAGCCGCTCCACCCAGCCCTGCCCCCGTTTCCCATGCAGTTGCCCCCACTGGGACCTTGGGGGGGTGGACGTCCCCACAGACCATCAGACAGGGCTGCTCCCTGTCTATGCCTGCTGCCTCCCCAGGGACACTGCACAGCAGGGAGGAAGGGGTGCTGGGCACTCTCCTCGCCCAGCCTCTGTCCCGGGGACTTGGGGAAGCAGGTGCCCCCTCCTCAGCTCTGCCGTGCCCGGGGTCCCATGCCTGCAGGAGCAGGACCCCTCCCCCCACCTCCAGCCCCTTGTCGCTGAATCCTGTGACTCTCAGGATTTGAACTCGAGTGGGACATCCTCACCAGTGCTCTTTAAGACATCCGTTGCCTCTGACTCCTGACCTCTGACCCCTGCCTGCAGAACTGGGTGCTTTGCCACAGGAGGGTCCCTCCTTTTGCATTAGGTCCCAGAAGGGAACTCTGACTGGGAGCGAGGTCTTGGGTGGGTGGGTGGGGGGGGGGGGGGGTGGCTTGCTAGTGCCCTGATTCCATGTGTCCCTCTGAACCCCAAGTTTGCTCTGGTGGGGGGGCATGTGGGTCTTGGGTCCTACGTGGCTCCAGTGCAGTCCAGGGGCTGGGCACGTGGCCTCTCTCTGCTGACTGTTAAAACCACGCCCCAACTCCAGGTCCTGCACCCTTGGCCCCTGTCGGGCTGCTCTCTGCACCCTCTCCAGGGCTGTCCTGGTTCGGTTCCTGTCGGTGCCCGAGTGAGACGCTCATGGGGGCCGAGAAAACCTAACTCGGCCTGGGGAGGAGGGACGGGCACAGCCCAGTTGCGACGGGGGTGGGTGTCGCTCCAGGAGCTTTTCCAGGCCTGGCCGGAAGCGTCTCGTGTCTCTTGCTCCGTCACAGTGCTCGTGTCCTTTCCGCTGGCCGTGAGACACCCTGGACTTAGCTCAAGAAGCACCAGTGTTTCCCCGCACCGGGGTGAGGCGGGTGGAGTGGGGGAATGGGCGGGCAGGGCCCTCTCTGCTCCTGCACAGAGGGTCCTCCAGCAGCTGGAGGCTTCGTCCTCGTGTGTCTGGTGGTGACCAGCCTAGCCCAGAGCTAAGCTCAGCGTGGCCTTCCACGTGGTTCCGGTGTCCTAGACCCCAGCTTCAGGAGGCCCCAGACACGGCCTCTGGGCGGGAGGAACCCAGAAGAGTTGGGGGAAGCTGGGAGTCTTTCCGGCCCTTCCCCCAAACCCCTTCCTGAGAATTCTCTTGGTTCTAGGGAGTGACCACTACAAATCGGGCTCCCGGAGACATGCAGACCACCCCCCACCCCCAGAGGGAACCAGGCCCCTTGCACAGATGCAGAACAATGCTGAGCGCAGTCCCAGGCCGGAGCTGGGCCAGGCTTTCTGTCTGCTCCTGTGCCCCACCGGCCTCGCCTCCCCCCTCCTGCTGCCCCCCCATCCCATGCTCACCATGTTCAGCCTCCAGCCTGTGCCCACAGCTCTCCCTCCATCTCTCTCCCTCCTGCCCTCCCTCTTGCCCTCCCTCCCTCCCTTCCTTTCTTCCTCCCTCCCTTCCTCCCACCCACCCGCCCTCCCTCCCCCCCTCCCTCCATCTGAGCTAACCCAGGCCCCGCCCACCGCCAGACTCTGCAGCTGAGGCCCGGGCCCCTGGCCCCCTCTTCTGTCCCCCCCAGGCCCCCTGCCCGTGCCCAGCATCCCCTTTCTCCTGCCCTGTCCCGCCCGATCCCACAGAGACCCTCTCTGTCTGCCTCAGGGTCCCCACCTCTGGGGTTCCCAGTAGTCACAGCATGTGGGTGGAGGCTTTGTGGGGAAACTGAGGCCCAGGGCATGTGAGCACTGTCCCCACAGCACTCAGTGGGGCACAGGTCTGAGTTGGAATGTGATTTCACGGCTCGGGGGACGCTGCTGGCCAGGGAGCCCCAGGGCCCGGGTTCTGGGCCACTGACCAGTCGCATTTCCTCTCTGACCTCCCCGAGAGTAAACTCAATGCCTGCTGAGTCCCCCGTGGGTGAGGGTGGCCCTGGGGTCAGCCTCAGGGTCCTGTGCCGGGGTCCCTAGTCTCAGTCTGGACATAGGACTCCAGCGTCCAGGCTGTGGGCTCCGGGGCCGCCCAGTCCTCCGCCCGGGTCTGCAGACAGCTGGGCAGGTGCTGGGCAGGAATGTTGGGGTGATGAGCTGAGAAGGCTGGAGGACCACTGGGCGGGGCGGGGGGGCAGCACGGGGGGCTGGGAGAACAACAGGTACATGGAGCTGGGGCGAGGTGAAAGATTCCAGAACCCCCACGCTGCCCTCCTCTGTCAGCAGCCCTCAGCCTCATCCTTCTCTCAGGCCTGCAGGCGCCTGTGTCCATTCCCACCTGCTCCTCCAGGACACAGCCAAACTGCCGTCCTGCCCTGCTCCTCCACCCCTGCACATGCCTGGGCTGGGTCTTTGCTGCACGCACATGCATGCGCACATAGAGACACACACATACGTTTCCTGCACACACACGAGTTTCCTGGACACACACGTTCCCTGTACACACACGCACACACACATTTCCTGCACAAACACACATTTCCCGCACACACATGAGTTTCCTGCACACACACACACGTACACACACGTTCCCTGCACACACACGTTCCCTG